TTCTGGGATCGGGAGATTCGAGGGAGATTTTTTTTTTTTTTTTCAGGAGACGGGATCGGGATGGAATGTTTTTTACGCACAGGGTGCTCACAGTCGGAGGCGGGCAAACGGGTAAATCAGATTTGCGAGGTGTACGCAAGACACAAAAAACGAAAACGTTTAACACACGCGTGTTTTTTTTTTTTTTTTTTTTACAACACAGGCGGGGCAGGTGTTTGGAGGAGTGTCGGGGGTGTGTTAGAAAGAACGAAAAAAAAAAAAAAAAAACCAGCTGTGGGAAAGAAGCCCTTTGACCCACACGGGCCCGGGATCTTTTTTTTTTTTTTTTTTTACAACACAGGCGGGGCAGGTGTTTGGAGGAGTGTCGGGGGTGTGTTAGAAAGAACGAAAAAAAAAAAAAAACAAAGAAATCAGCTGTGAGTAAGAAGCACATTGACCGACACGTGCCCGTGATCCTTTCTTTTCTTTCTTTTCTTTCTTTTCTTTTTCTTCTTCTCTAAGTATAAATTCATTGTCGGCGATCGATGTCGAATGATTTACTGGAATTAATGGATCGCGGGCACGTCCAGGGCGCTAAATAAAAAAAAAGAAGCGCAACTTAAGAACGAAAAAAAAAAATAAATGATAAACGATAGCCAATAATCATGATTCACAATGATCTCATGATCGAGCAGCTACGTTTAAGCGGCGAAAAATCAAAATTCGTGAACGAGATGATTGATCAAATCGCGTTGCAGTCGCACTTCTCCAACATCAAATTCGAACACTCCGTCGTTGAATATATATATATATATAATTATATATATAATTATATGGCGAAATGGATATATTTCGAAGATCAATCGCATCTCTGAACAATCGTTAGGGAAAAAAAGAAAACACGTATTTCGAGCGCAAATGGGTTAGCATCTCGACCTCGAGTGCATCTCGAAGGTGGCGATGCGAAGCTAGGACAATGAATGTAGTTAATCAACGATATTTGAAAATGTGTGTGTGTGTGTGTATGTGCATGTATGTGTTTATTCATGTAAGCGTACACGATGTGAGAATGGAAAAAAAGGAGTAACATGTATTGAGCGAAGAGATTTGCTCGGCTTAACTATCGCTTTATTTAGCAATTAAATATTAAGTTTTTCAACACTTTACGAGAAAATCATTTCGATCGACATAATAATATACACGGATTCGACACACAATCCTTTCAATCTCGAAATAACTGATTCCTCGATCGAGTCCAAGAAGACAGAGAAAGAGAGAGCGAGAGAGATAAAGAAAGAGAGAGAGAGAGAAAGAGAGAGAAAGAGAAAATCGATCGAATAATTGGATGTTGAAAAGAAAAAAAAGGTTTAAATTACGAAATTGGAATTGATTTTTTTTATTATTTAGAGATTAAAGAAGAATCGTGAATGTCGAATATAAATAAAAGTTATATGCATAGAAATATTGGATTGTTCGATTCTGTCAGCACGAAGACGGCGATGGCGTAGCTGAGAGCTACCGACTCATGCGAACGTGAGGGAGAAAGGTCTGGGTTTCGGGTTGAAAGATGGACCGGCTGAAAAAAGATAAGAAAAGAAAAAAATTATGTCCGGGAATACGACTTTCGAATCGAGATACCCGATTCGATTTCCCGAAATTTTGTAAACCATTCTCTTTTCACTGGTATTCTATCATACGTAATCGCGTAAAATCTCTTCGATACTAATGTCGCGCAAGTAATGAGAAAGAGAAAATTAAAAAAAAAAAAAAAAAAATACAAAGAAAGATACGCGAATACGAGATAGGAAAAGCAACACGTGCACGTAGTCTCGTTACATAAGCTCTCTCTCTATCGAAACAGACTCATTTATTCAGGTCTCTATTTATTCGGGTCTCGAATTCAATCGTCCCAGTTTCGTTTCGATCAAGTCTGCATCATCGTCATCGTCATCCAGTTGCTCCATAGATGATAAATATTTAAACAATCGTGTCATCGTGATGACGAGATAATACGATCGAGATTCTTTCGAAGACGAAATATCGACGACAACTCGCCAAAATTCACCGAAATTCGACGAAAACGACGAGCGTAACGAAAGAATAATAGTTCCACGATGAGAGCTCGTAAATGAGACGATGATCGTTATTTCGATATTATTTCCAAACGATCGATCGATCGATCGTCTGATGGGCGTCGAATCAACGAACGAAGATGCGAATGGAGAGCGAGAGAAAGACACAGAAAGAGAGAGAGAGAGAGAGAGAAAGAGAGAAAGAAAAAAAAAATACGATGCGAGGGACGTAAGCCAAATGGGGCATATTAGCCAAAGCTAGAAAACTCGGTCAAAAGGAATCCCCACACCTCGTTGCGAACGGGCGTAGATAATTTTTGCTCAGTGGCGAGAAGAGACCTATTTGCAAATAACAATCGAAGACGATATGAGGCCAAGGCGATAATAAAGGCGGATTCGCCATTAGGATTACGAACGCGATCGACCAGAGAGAGAGAGAAAGAGAGAGAGAAAGAGAGAGAGAGAGAGAGAGAGATCGTTCCTCCAGATATACCAAACGAGAAAGTCGAGCTTGTCATCGGTAATTTATACGACCGCAATTTCCGCTTTTGTTTCCTCCTAGGATTCCGGGTTGACATGCCTGTGGCGTGCTTGTCGTAATTATCGTTAGAATGCTCGCGACGCGACGCGGAATCTCATGCACGTAACGTAAGTTGGGGGGAGCGAAAAGCATAGGTACTCTAAAAATCGTGCTTCTAACGGAAGGACGAAGGAACTTCTTTTTTTCTTTTTTTTCTTCTTCTTCTCTGCAACGTGTTCATTTTTTAACCAATTTTATTCCAAGAGAAAACTGTACTGTTGTTACATAATAATGTTCAATTATGTAATGACAAGCCGTGGACGGAAGAACGATTTCGGTTTGCAAGCCTCTGATGCATAATTTCTCGAATGATTCTCGAAATCGAGAATCTTCACCTTATCGACGGATTCGATTGGGACGAATCTAGCCGCGATGAATTGTGAATTGTGAAGGATGATGTTACTTACCGGTCACGGTCTGACTCTGGGGTCGTGGCAGAGTGCTACTTCCTGTGCTCGCTAGCGGAGGGGACGATATATTCGACGATCCAAACGGTTTAGGACCAATTAAATTGTTCGACGTTGGAGCCTGTGTGATAGATATAAATATTTTATTATTCGATGGTTTTTCTTTTTTTCTTTTTGCGCAAAAAGCGCGAGAAATATAATGACACGATGTTAAACGATAATAAAATGATGAATTAAATGATGAACGTTGATACGTTGCATTCCAACAACGAATGCGATGATGATGGATGTACACGTATGATTTCATCGTGATGGTGAGAATTAACGAGGCGTGGTGACAAACAACATGACAAAATGCGGTGCATATTGCTAACGATCAATGAACTAGCTAAGCTCTGGACTCTCAATCGAATGTTTGGAACAGAAATCGATCAGAGCATCGATGATTTTTCTTTTTCTATTCGCCACTGCCTTGACACCATGTCTCTTAAAGGGAAAGACACTAGGAAAAAAAAAAAAAGAAAAAAAATACACGATCTTACTTATCGTAAAAGCTATCGTAAGCTACATTTTTTTTTTTTTTATTCCACACATTCAGCATCTTTCCTCTCAAATAACAACTTTTTGAAAGATTTTTCTTCACCGTTATTTCACGCACTTAAATCACAATTATAAACTCGATTATACGTATACAAATATATATTTTTGGAATCACGATCTATATTTTCTTTTACATTTAAAAATCACACGGTTTTAAAGGGAATTCTATTTTATAATTCTTTTTAAACTATCGATCGACGTACTTTTGAGGAGAACATATCTCTGGTACTCAAAGCAGCGGCACCGCGTTCAGCGTGATTTTCATCGGATCGCTAAGGACGTACCTTACCCTTAAGCGTAAGGTAACGAGTGTGAAACGTTTAAGGCGAGTCGCGTTGGGACATTACCTGGACTGATCGGAAACTGGGTGGATCGACGGGCGTAGTGCCAAGGCGGGTGGGCTGTAATACATAAAACGACAGAACGATGTCACGTGGAAGTGGCAACTTGAAAAAAGGGGGGGGAGAGAGAGAGAGAGAGAGAGAGTTGTGGCAACACGCACACTCGTAATCGCGCCAGGGTAATTAGTCACAGCTTCGAAATAATCGTCGCCGACGCGAATGATCAAGATTCCCGTTTGGCAAAACCTATTCTTGTAGTCTTGTGGCTATAGGGAAGTTCGCGAAACAGAAGGACGATCAGGTCGAATATCATCATAACGATTATCATAATAAGTTTCGTAATTAGTTGTATCTTTCCTTCTCCGACCCGAGCCTCGCTTCCTCCCTCCGTCTCTGTCCGTCTCTATTCATTTTTATTTAGATCCGCATTCCATTTTCGATTTGATTCAGCGCGATATTTTCAACCATTGTTTACCTTCTTCGTATTCGTATTATTATATACGTTAATTATAAAGGGATATATTCTGTCAGACAGTTGGACAAGCAGCGTTCGACGACGATGGAGGGAGGGAGTAATTAAATTATTTGATTATCGAATAATTACTTTTTTTTCTTTCTTTCTTTCTTTCTTTTTTTTTTTTAGGATTATATATAGGAACAACAACGAAACGACGATTTTTCCAAAAAAAATCGGATAAAATTCACCGGATTAATTAATTGCGAACCTCTGTGCAACCCGTCTGAATGGTGATCGTGCTTGTAAACGTTTTCGATTCCCAGTTGCAGTTGCCGTTGCTGATGTATCCGTTCTTATCGAGGGGCGATAGCTGAGAATTCGGGGATCCGAAGTAATCGGGACTCGAACGATTGCAAGCCTGGAAAAGCGATTAGTGGCGAGCGA